AAAGCTTGGTATTGCATTTTCAGAGTAAAGACGATGTGAATGTGTGTGCGTGCACATGTGAGCACATGTGCAAATCCAGGACTGTAATGAAAGAGAATCTTCCGCAAGGGGGTTTGCAGTGGATGCTGTGACTAATACATTCACTGATGAAGATGCTCTTCCACAGTTCAGACAAGTAAGAACGAATTAGGAATCTTTCCAGAAGGAATTCATTTCTAGACTCCTCCTTACCCTTCAGATCTCCATCGCCTGCCCTAGAGTCTTAGCTGAATAGCGTGAACCTGTATCCATCCACATATATTTATACATCTGGCTTAGAGCCACAACGGGGAAGAACGTACAGCAGGAAAGTGCTTGCACCTTCCCAGACCGAGAGAGTCCTTTGCCTCCATCCCAGCCTGGATCTTACAGGCATCCATTAAAGAAAACTGCAGGCATTTCTGCAACTACATACGAATTGTTTCACATCTGTATGTGCTAGAAGGAGTTCAAGGGCATCAATATTCCTATTGTAATACATCTGCCCAGTGCTAGCAGCCTTACTGAAACCTATCAAGAGCCAAAGAATAAAGATATGCACCAGCCTGGGCAACAAGGTGATGCCCCGTCTCTACAAAAAATACAAAAATTAGCCAGGTATGGTGGCAGCTGCCTGTAGTCCCAGCTACTCTGGAGGCTGAGACAGGAGGATGGCTTGAGCCCGGGAGGCAGAGGCTGCAGTGAGCTGTGATCGCTGCACTGCACTCCAGTCTGGGTGACAGAGCAAGACCCTGTCTCAAAAAAATTAAAATGTGCATAGTCACATAACAATATGCAAATATTCTTCTTCAGGGCCACTTGGTCTTTAACATAGAGAGCCAAGAGAACACACAGACTCATTCTCTCTCTTTTCATCACACACGCACGCACACACACACACACGCACGCACACACACGCACGCACACACACACACACATACACACCCATCTCCACTATAATTATAATTATTATGTTGCCTTCCAGATCAGGGTTTAGAGCCTTGGCATGGAGACGCCTGAAAGGCACCCAAGGCAATTAGTGGTGTCCCTCCTCCACCCCCTTCATACCTTCAGGGGCTTTGCACTTGCTGCCCCCCCTCCCAGAGCACACACCCCCAGATCCTGTGTGGCTGACTCTCCCATCACATTTAAGTCTTAGCTCAAACGCCACCTCCTCAGAAATGCCTGACCTGGCTGCTTCCAGGGCTGTCTATATGCTCACCAGCTTTATTTTTCTTTGGGGAACTTTCCATCCCCAGGCATTGTGCTAAACGTTTATTTGTTAATCCATCCATGCCGGCACTCACTCCTTGCCGGTGATCACTATGAGCCATGAGGCTCCAAGATTACAGCCACATGCCCAGGGCTAGGGTGGTGCCTAGCTCACAGCTGGCATCCAGTCAGTAGCAATGGAATGAATGAATAATCACGCTCGCTTCCTCTCCATCCTGGCCCTATCCTTTCTCTCACTTCCTCTCCCCGCCCCCCATCTCCCCTGCTTCCGCCTTAAGTCTGCTGGCAGGAGCAGCCTCAGGAAGTTGTCAGGCAGGGAGGTGTGTGCTCTGTGCCCCTCTCCTTCCATCTCTCTTTCCTGCCTCCCTTATGGGTACCTATCTCTCCTATCTGCAGCTGCCCACTGCCAGCTCTGGCCTTCTTGGTGGGCAGAAGCTTGGGCACCCCAGACAATCGTAGGGAAATTGGGCATTGGAGGGTAGCGGTAGGAAAGGATTCAGTACCTGCCAAGGAATGATGAATTGAGTCTCTCCCACCCACGCGCAGCCATGCTCTTGCAGAGCTTGGCTTCCATCTTTAAAGCAGAACGCCGTTCCCAGCACCCTTCAGCACCCATGACTCAGTGTCTAGTCTTTCCTGCAGGAGTTGGTGCTGCCACTACGGGGACTCAGCCCCTCTCTTCTCATGATTCATTACCTAGATTCTTCCTGCAGTGATTTACAGTACCTATTTTATTTTATTTTTTTTGAGATGAAGTCTTACTCTGTCGCCCTGGCTGGAGAGCAATGGCGTGATCTCAGCTCACTGCAACCTCCACCTCCCGGGTTCAAGCAATTCTCCTGTCTCAGCCTCCCAGTACCTGGGATCACGGGTGTGCGCCACCATGCCCTGCTAATTTTTGTATTTTTAGTAAAGATGGGGTTTTGCCATGTTGGCCAGGCTAGTCTTGAACTCCTGACCTCAGGTGATCCACCTGCCTCAGCCTCCCAAAGCGCTGGGATTACAGGTGTGAGCCACTGCTCCCGGCCAACAGTATCTGGCTCTATCCCCAGTACCACTTGTGTAATCAGCTTAGACAGAGAGAGTCGCTACATGCCAGCCCCATGCGTGCACCACCTGCCCCACCCGACCCCACCTCACCCCACCGCACCCCACCCGGCACGCTCTCCTCTTGCTCCTTCTCCTTCTGCTGTCTCTCCTCACTGCCCTTCCATATCCTAGGCAGTCTTCAAAGCTCCCTTCTCACTTCCCAGGGCCCCACGGACGCCCTCCACCCGCTCTGGTCTCTCCATTCTGGTGGCAAAATGTCACATACTCCACAGTGATGCCTCTTTCACTCATTTTCCACTTGACTCCCCAGCAAGATTATAAACTGCTTGAGAGTGGGAGCTTTGTCTTATCCTCAGAGACCTAGTGTGTGTGTGGTGGGGGCAGTTGCCGGGGGCGGAAGAGTTGCAGGGGGACCTATTTCCTTCTATCCTTCTGTCTTACTCTCAGACTGTTAGTACAAGCCCTGAGTCTGGCTGTACCCCTGGAACATGTGCCCCGCCCCCTACAACCAAATGCTGCCCCTCCCAGCTAGGTCTGTTGTTTGTTCCTTTTCTGATTGGCGCCAGGCTCATAGACCCCATGTAGGGTAGAATATAACTTTCCATAAATAACCTCTAACCTGACCTACAATTTAGCCTTCGGGTTTTTTTCCCCCTGGTAGTAATGGGATTGCAGCCTGGGCTGATCCATCCTGTACCTTCAGGTTTCAGAAAGCAGACCCCAGGCCTGGGCATGGCTTGGAATTCCTGGTCCCCCCATGTTGTCTTGTACATGGCAAGGACTCGGTACACACTGAGGAAAGGTGGACTCTCTTCCGCCATGAGCAGCCGTGCACATGCAGTCTTTGCTTGGGCTGTGCCTTCTGCCTAGAAGCCTCCTTCACCCAGAAAATCTCTAAGCAGCAGCCGCTTGGTGAAGCCTTCCCTAACCACTATCCCTCATCCCCTCCACAGAGCAAATTCAGTTCGCATAGCACTTCATACAGAACAGTGTGATTATTGCCTAGGCGCCTACCAGGATCTGAGCAGCTCAAGTGAGGGGCGGGGCCAGGTACTGAGCCCAAGTGTGGCTGTGGGCAAAATACTGAACCCCTGGGTGCTTCGGTCTCCTCAGATTCAAACACCAACCTGGGGCTGGGCACGGTGGCTCATGCCTGTAATTCCAGCACTTTGGGAGGCTCAGACGGGTGGATCACTTGAGGTCGGGAGTTTGAGACCAGCCTGGCCAACATGGTGAAACCCTGTCTCTACTAAAAATACAAAAATTAGCCGGTCGTGGTACCATACACCTGTAATCCCAGCTACTTGGGAGGCTGAGGCAGGAGAATCACTTGAACCCGGGAAGGCAGAAGTTGCAGTGAGCCGAGATCATGCCACTGCACTCCAGCGTGGTGACACAGTGAGACTCTGTCTCAAAAAAAAAAAACAAAACCAAACCAAAAAAACCCCATAAACCTGGCCCAGAGCCTGTGTCCCCACCCACTGGACTGGACTGCCTCTCCGGGTGGGAAGATGTCTCTGCTTCCTACCTGCCCTCATATTCCAAGGCCTGAGACACTGATGATGCGTGGAATTTCTGCAGGTGCTCCCTGAAGCCTCCTCGGGGGCTGGAGCCACCGGAAGGAAATGGCCACTGATACCCACTCATACCTACCAAAGACTTGATGGTGATGATGATGAATTCAAGTAGCTTATTGGGAGTTAAACTGACAAGTCATCAGGAGGGTCCTCAGCTTTCTTTGGAGAGTGGGTTCCCCAAGCTAGGCTGGACTTAAAGCTTTCCAGCTGACCAGCCCATCTTAGGGCAACTGAAGAGTGACTTCGAAGTTACTCTTTATCTGACGATGCTAACTCAGCTAGCATCCAGCACTATGAGACACCCTGGGGAGGTGAGACTTTGGGAGAAGTTCAGGACGCTAGCCCTGCTTTTGAAGATCCTACGTTTTCACCCAGGACGCATAAAATCCACACTTGGAAGAAGACGAAGCTCCCTTTGAGCTGGTCCTGAATTGTACTTGGCTTCGTGTTATCTATGCCAGTACTAAGCAGGGCTTGGCCAGGCTGGTCCTCCATGAATGATTGTCAAATGGAAAACAGAATTAGGAACCAAAGTAGTGGTGTGGACAAAAGGGGCTGGAACCTCAGAGGAGAGAGGATCATGGGAGATGGAAAATCTCTGGAACATTGGGGGAAGAGGTGACAAGTAACGTGAATCCTAAAGAAAGAGGATTCGTGATTGGGGGTGCTAAGTGTAGAGGGCAAGCTGAGGAAGCGGGGACCCGCATGACCCTTTGGAGTTGGTAGGAAGCTTGGCAGAGGAGGAGGTGGGAGTCAAGCAGGAAAGGCCTCCGTGTCAGACTGGGAAACCTGCACTTGATCCTGGGCAAGGGAGAGCTATTGAAGGCTCTTGAGCAGGGGAGTGATACAAAGAGAACAGCATTTTTGGAAGCCGGCATGGAGTGCAGCCTGCTGAAAGGAGACAAGGCTGAGGTTATGACAATGCCCTGGGTGAAGAAACGAGGTCTGGGTTTGGAAAGGAAGGGACAAACAGGACTTTTCAAAGGAAGACATAATTGCTGCAAGGGCCACCAGAGAGCCGTCAAAGGTGCATCCAAGGTTTGAGCCCTAGTGACCAACAGAAGGGTGTCAACTTTGACATAAATGACATCGTGTGTGGTCAACAAAATGAGACCACATCCGTTCAGTCGTGATTCATCGTCTTTATTAACAATGTCTCTGGACTGGAAGAACAGACTGTTATTTCATAAGCAATATTAACATTGCCATTCTCTACAAGAAAAACTTTTGCATAAATAACTTAAGTGAGAAAATAAATATGTAACTTAACTCTTTAAAAACCACTACTTTCATTCTTGTGGACAAGTCCCGCGTTTAAGGATTGTAAGAACCGACCAGTCCTGCAGGCTTTCGTACGGCATCTGCTTCCGTTTAAAACATTTTTTTAAAAAAAAAACAAAAACAAAAACTACACAGAAAGTAAGAGGTTGTCTGGAAATGATTTTCAAAAAGATTTTTGGGTGGTAGCTATTATGCTCTGCAGTCGCTCAGCATATGTACAGCACTTGTGATTTTTCTCCCAATAATACATATTCTTTTAGTGTAAGAAATGCCATCACATGTAAGAGGAGGAGGAAGCCCTTTTCTAGGCAGAAATGTGTCTGCGTGCAGTGGGCAGAAGGTGGCATCTCAGAAGGCATGTGCTGGTCTGGGAGTGTGTGGTGGCTGCTCTCTCGGGCCTGCTAGACCAGTGTCCTGGGACCTTGAACTTCTCTTCAGAAGGTGACTTTAAAATATGGCTGTGGGTCGGGGCAGGGATGCTGCTCTTTGGGAAGTTGGCGGCGAGTGTGATTTCTATCCCTCCCACCACCTTCAGGACCCTCTCCTTCTCTACCCCAGTGGATGATGTCACTCCTTTGAGATGGAGGGGTGGAGGTAGCCAGACATCTGGGAAGGCCAGGCCGGGAAGCAATGTAGCTTCTTCCAGGGGTTTGTCAGCCAGAAATATGTCAGCCAGAAATAGACTCTACTCTTTTTTTTTTTCTGTTTGTTTTTCATCTTTGGCTGTCAGATGAGAGCATCACAACTCTGAATTCTGAATTCTGGAAGTGACATTGACATTGAGTCAATGCAAGCTCATTCATTTATTCTCTCTCTCATCTCTGCTCATTCAAAAGGCACTGGAGTGCTTGGACTCATATGCCAGTAGATCCCTCCAGATCCTAAACCCACCTCCACCCTCATTTTACAAAGTGGAAATTGAGGTCCTAAAAGAGAATTGTGCAGTTCAAGGTTACACAGCAAGTTAGTGGCAGAGCCAGGACTAGAAACCACATCTACAGATGCCCCTAGTCTTGTGCTCTGGGCACGCCACAGGCTTTCTGATGGGCAGTGAGGTGCAGGGGGAATCCTATCCAACTTTCTTAACCAGTCCCTGGACTTGTCACACTCCCACACGGCTCCCTTAAACCCACAGGGCGGTGAAAACGCTTCCATTTCTGCCTCCTCTGAAGTGGGACCAGCAAAGGTTGGCGACCCCGGAGGCGGAGCTGCGTGGCTCAGTGTCTGTGACTCTCAACTCCCTCCCCTACCCCGCGGGACCCCTCAGCTGGCCGGCCGAGGTGGGCCCCGGTGCCCGGGATGCCACAGGGCCTGGAAGGTCTGGGCCCCTCGCCCTGGGTTGCAGGCATTTACAATGAAATAAAAACAATCGAACCACGCACAGAGGACAGAAACGTGGGGCACAGGGCCAGGGCGCCCGCCGCAGGGCGGGACGCGGGTAGACTCTAGTAGGCGTTCTCCAGCTCAGCCTGGTTGGCTTTGGCGCCCCGAGCGCGGGGCCGAGGCTTCCGGCCCTTCTGTGGCCTCGCGGCCTCGGGCCCGAAGTCCTTGAGCTCCGACTGGTTGTGGAAGCGGGTGAGGCGCTTGCACTTGCACGAGGCCACCAGGCGCACCTTGCGCGCGCGCGGGGCTGCACCGCCGGGACACAGCAGCTGCACACGCTGCGCGCGGTAGCGGTCGGGGATGCAGCGAAAGTCAGGCCCGCTCGGGCGCCACCACTTGCCACGGCCGATGGCGTTGGGCAGCAGGCGCGCGGGGCCGCACTGGCCGGAGCACACCAGCTCGGTGACCGGCTTGGCGCTGCGGCACGGCCCGTCGGTCACGTAGCGGGTGAAGTGCAGCTCGCGGCAGCTGTACTCGGACACGTCTGCGGAGAGAGACACGCGTGAGGGTGGCCGACCACCCGGCCACCACCGCCCTGGCCCGGCCCGGCTCCCTCCACCCCAGTCCTGCTTTTGCAAAGCCTGCCTCTCCCGGTCTCCAGAGGCTTTTGCCCCTGGACACCTATTGCTTGAATGTTTCAGATCCTCTAGAGCTGGTGGAAAGCTCTCCTGCGCACCCTGTCTCCTCAGAGCCAAATTACTGCTGGGGTGCAAACACCAGGGAGGGCTCCATCGCTCACTGCAGGTGTCATCTTGGGCAAGTTCCTTAACCTCTCTTCCAGTCTGTAAAATGGGCCGCCCCAAGCATTGTGAGTTAATCCATTACACACACAATGCAGAGAATACCACTTGGCACATACAGCTGGAGGCATCAGCTGTTATCATGTGTTATTATTTATCTCCTAGGGATCCTCTTATGATTTAAGCCACACTTCTGCTGCAGGGACCCTGGCCTGGGCAGGGTAAGTCAGTACCCGCCACATCTTCTTCCCAAATTCCTTTTCCAGCCACTTGGGAGGGGTGAACAGGAGATGGAGAAAGGAGTAGAGGTTAATTGAAGGTAATAAATCAGGGCAGCTGCTGTGGAGGCGACAGAAGGGGAGGTGATCAGGACAGGAATTCATTAGACTTGAAAGGAATCAAAGGCACAGTGTCCAACCCCCTTATTATCAATGAGAATACTGAGGCCCAGCCACAGAAAAGAACGTGCCCAAAAGGCAGGGCTGCACAATCCAGACTTCGCTTCCCTGGGGTCGCAGCACCTTTTGACTCCCATAAGAGTGGGGGCTCTGTGTTCGAGCACCAGTGGGAGGCTGGGCTGGGGGACAGAGCCGAGGGCTGCTTTTTACTCTAGTAGAGGCCTGAGCTCTGACCAAAACCTACAGGTTCAGCTGCCTGAACATTTACCTAGCTGTCTGCTGGGCACATTTCTTGTTCTGTGTTATTTGAATGGGCGCCTCATGGTGATACTCCCTGGGTGGGCAGAGATTGGGTTCAGAGGAATGGCCTCATCCCCTGCGCACACCTTAACCATGTCTCCTACGGTGGACTTAGATGGGGGGGGGGAGCTTTGTAAACAGCTGGTCCTCGTGTGAATACCAGTCCACCCCCAGAGGTTTCATGGGGATAGTTCCAATGTGACACAAAAGAATGAAAAATAGTCTTCAGACCAAACCAGAGAGGGGTCAGAGAAGGCCACACACCGCCCCCCCACTGCACCCCCCCACCCGTCACTCTGGAGAGCCAGCACAGCAGGGGGAGGCGGGCCGCTGACATTGTCTGGGGTTGCTTTCTGCTTTGTGGGCTGTTTGCATCCTCACCTCTGTAGGGCTGGGATGTGTGTTGGGATTGGGGGGGGGGATTTGCCCAGGGAAGGGGGCATTTGGGGGCTTTCCAAGAATAGTGCCCCTAGGTCAGTCACTTCCTCTGCAGATTGTGACTTTGTTTTGAGCATGTGGCTTCCTCGGGGGCTGTGGCCCCTCCTGGGAGCCCAGCAAGGTGGACAGCTTGTGTCTGGGTTCCCTACAGCCCTTCAGGCAGTCACTGGAGCCCAGTTGACCTTGCCTGGAAGGGGGCCTGTGGGAGGAGGCACCTTTGTCCTCCATTTCAAAGGCACAGGGTCCTGGCTGGCCTCCCCTGTGGTGGCCCTTTTTAGCACTCCATAACCCCAACAGGTTGTGAGGCAGGGAAGGCTGGGGTGCAGGAGCCTGGGCAGTGGTTTCTCTGCCACCTGGATAATGGCCAGAGGGCAGTGAAGCCCTTAGTCTGAAGTGTCACTCCCATCCCCACCCACGGCCCCGTGATCCCTGCCAACCGTAGAAGCAAACGTGCCCACTGTGCAGGCCTGACCGGGAGCCCGGGGTCTCCTTGCCTTCTCCCTCCCCTGGAATGAGGCAAGGCTGGGACTGGGGTGGCCACTGAGCACCGATGTGCCTACTCCGGCACAGAGCATGCTGCGTGCCCTCTAGGACCTGGACACAGCTGCCGGCAATGCCCATTCCTTCAAACGCCAGCTCCCTGGGCAGGCCGTGGGCAATGCACACCGCAGGGTGCCTCTCTGGCCTTCCTCTCGCACTGTCTTGTGGGGATCTGTCCCCAACACCCCCCCACACACACCAGGGCTGTCTTGCAGTTGAATCAAACCAGGTCTTCTCCTCACTACCAAGTTACTGAGTGCCTGGAGCCTGTTTCTTTCCCTTCAAGCTGGGGGTTCACCTCCTGGGGTTCCATAAGGTGGGTCTGTGTGGTGGGGACAGCCACAGGCAGCACAGTGTCTGGCACCCCATGGGTGCTGCTCTGTGGGTGGGAGGCTCCCTCACCTTGTTCCCTCCCCAATGGTACCAGCAATTGGATGTAGTTCCTATATTCCCAGGAGGAGATTCTTTGAAACCTTTTCTTTTCTGAGCCCCTGAGCCTGTTCTGATGCCCTGATGCCATACCCTCACCACCCCAGCCTCCTCCCTGCCCTGGGCTCTCACTGACAGACTCCACCTGCCCCTGCACCTGAATCCGCAGGCTGCAGCAGAACCATCCTTCCCACGCCTCCGGTCAACGCTTCTTCCACCGGTGCTCGCAGAGGCCGGCGGTCTTCACTGGGTCTACTCCAGTCTTCAAAGCCTCCCAAAGAAAAGTCTCTAAAACCTCCCCAGGACCCTTTTACTAAGACATCTCTCCTCCACCCCATACCTTTGGTCTCAAAAGGGTGGTGGGGAGGCCGCCCTCCGTTCTCCGCCCGGTTCATGGTCTTGTTGTTCTCCAGCTCTGGTGGAGGCTCGGGGTACTCTCCCAGCTCAGGGATGATTTCCGTGGCATCGTTCTTGAAGGCCTGCCACCCCTGGCCCTCCACCACGCGGAAGGCTGCGTGCACCAGCAGGCAGACGAGACACAGGGCTAGAGGGAGCTGCATGGTGCCAGCCAGAGGAGGGCACGCAGCCTTCCAGTAGCACAGGCTCTGGTCCCCAGCCGAGACACGGTCGCCTTTTTAAAGCCCCCCTCTGCCTCATGCCAGCCAATGAGGACAGGCTGCGGCAGGGCTGGTCCCCTGTTTCCCTCAGCCCCGGGGGGAGGGAAAGGGGTGTGCTCAGAGCAAACCCTCCCTGAAGACTTCTCCTCTAGCTCAGCAAACTTCCAAATTGCTGCTGGCACTCCCAGGTGACCCAGAGAGAGGGGGCGTGTGAGGCTTGGCCCAAGCCTGCTCTCCCGCACCTCCCACGTGCTGGCGGCTGTGGTTTTCGGATATCAAAATGAGCTCCGGCTTGTAATTGTCCCTGGGCCCTTGGGCATTCTCAAAACAAACCGTGGACCCACTCAACAAAGAAAATATGCAGTTCCGAGTGCTTCGCACGGCTGAGCCCAGCCTATTCCATTTCTCAAGCCAAGTTCATTTGTCACCCCACCAACAAATGGCCCAAGGGATGTCTGTTTGACCCCCATAGACCCAGCCAGAAGCAGAAAGATGCTTTTTAAGAAATCCCATTGGTCCCCACTCCACAAGTCTCAGCATTGACTGTCCTGACCAAGGAAGCCTCTCTATTGGCATTTTCTGGAAGACGAGAGAGAACTAGAGGGCCAGAGCAAGGGTGGCCACTTGGGAGAGGGGGCAGGACTCTGGTTACAAGTGGAGGATGCTCTGGTCACTCCGCCTCCCGTGATGCGGCTCACAGAGGATATCCCAGCTCCTGCTCCTTGGGGATCCTGTGCACCGTGACAGGCACTTCCGAGCCGAGACCTTCACTGTGGCTCTCAGGGGGATGGGCTGAAGACGGTCATTTCCCAACCAGGCTGTGGATGCGAGCAGATAACACCAAATCCCTTTCCTTAGCAAAAGCTATGGCCAGCATTTTTAGTGCTGACATTTTTTTTTTTCTCGCCTTCCAGCCAGTTACATTTTTCAAAAACAGTTTGAGTCCTATATGGAAAGCTTCATTGGTGCATACCACAGGCTGTGTTCCATGAAGCCATCGCAGGACCAACCAGTCACAAAGCAGCAAAGAGAAATTGCCACCTTGGCTCCGCATAGAATGAAGGGCACGGGGCTGGGGGCAGGTAGAGGCTGTGGGGAGAAAGGTTCACACCTGAGGTGTAAGAAGAGCCAGGAGGGCTGGAGGAGGCTTTCATTGAAGACAGATTGTTTGAGGATGAGCAGCTCCTGGGAAGAGGCTGCCCAGATCCTCCTGGTATTTTAACTGGGCAATGAATCAGTTTCATTGATTCATTGAAATCACCTGCAGAGCCTCTGCAAGGACTTTGCCACCTGCCTCAACTTGCAAGTGGCTGTGTCCAGCTGCAGCTGACTGTCGTCCTTTCCATCATCCATCACCCGACACATGAATGCAGCTGCTCTGACAGTTTTACAAGCCAGACAGAAGCCCCCTCAGGAAGGGCCCTCTCTGATACCTGCTTCCTAAGTCAGTTTCCTTCGGGGCAGATGAAAACAGCTGTGGCCATTGTTGGGGGTGATCTATCTCTCCCAGCAGAGCCGGTAGTGTTGTGAGAAAGAAGCTGGCCCTCCACACCCCCTCTCCTTGTCTGACCATCCAACCTCCTTTTCCCTTGCTCTGGAATGTACAGTGTTAACCCTCTCGTGGCCAGACAACTGCCTTCTTGCAATGGACTTGCGAGATAGCAGTTCTGATGCCTGGGTTCCTTGAGCAGATAGGATGGATGCTTAGAGCCCCACCTGCTGTTGGGAGCGGCTGGACCATCTGCATTAGAGACAGCAGGATCCATCCCTGGAACACGTCTGCCACCTGCTGGAGACAAAAGGAAGGGCGAGTCTTCTGTCACAAAGCCGGTAAGGCTCAGGACTGGGCATGATTTCCTTTCCTTATTTTATTTGGAAGTGAACTAATATTAAATGAAAAAAGAAGACTCCAGTGGACTTGAACCTCTAAATGACCTCCACCTCTCTGAATGGCTCAGCAAGAACCTGCTGTGATATCTTGTGCCATTGTGTTTAATGTGACGCCATCGACAGCCGTTTAGTTTTACTCAGTCCACAAACTTGGCATTGTTCACAGTATTCCCCGGAATTATTTAGCTGATTCTTATGGTGAGTAGTTTAGGTTATTTCCAATTTTTTCCTATTTTCAGCAAAGCTACTATGAACATCCTTGTATGGTGGATGGGGATCTTGGATTTTTTATTTTTTGAGACAGAGTCTTGCTCTGTCACCTAGGCTGGGGTGCAATGGCACAATCTCAGCTCACTGCAACCTCCACCTCCTGGGCTCAAGAATCCTCTTGCCTTAGCTTCCCAAGTAGCTGAGACTACAGGAGCACACCACCACACCCAGCTAATTTTTATATTTTTAGTAGAGACACGGTTTCGCCATGTTGGCCAGGCTGCTCTTGAACTGCTGACTTCAGGTGATCCATCTGCCTCTGCCTCACAAAGTGCTGGTATTACAGGCGTGAGCTGCCACGCCCAGCCTCAGTAACTTTTTAAATTAAAATTTTCAATTTGGATATAATTGTAAATTTAAATATGTTTGTAAGAAATAAATACAAGCCTGGGCCACATGGTGAGACCTAGTCTCTACAAAAAATGTAAAAATTAGCTAGGCATGGGGTCACACACTTGTGGTCTTAGCTACTCAGGAGGCTGAGGTGGGAGGATCACTTGAGGTTGAGGTTGAGGCTGCGGTGAGCCATAATTGTGCCACTGCACCCCAGCCTAGATAACAGAGTGAGACGCTGTCTCAAAAAAGAAAGAAAGAATACAGGCTCCATGTATTCTTTATCCAGTTTCCCCCAACAATAATGCCTTGCAAAACTACAGGACAATATCACAACTAGGATATTGACATTGACACAATTTGCCAGTCTTACCCACATCTCCCACAGTGTTACTTGTACTCTGTGCATGCACATGCATCACATGTGTGTATACTTAGTTCTTATGCAATCTTGTCATGTGTAAGTTTGGGGATCCACCAAGATAAACCCCAGCTCTGTGACCACAAGTCTTTCTCCTGTTACCCATCTCCCTCCCTCCCTCCGCTTCCCTCCCTCCCACAACTAACCTCTGGCAACTACTAATCTAATCTCCATTTCTGTCATTTTTTTTTTTTTTCACTTCAAAAATGATACATAAATGCACCCGGGCACAGTGGCTCACGCCTGTAATCCCAGCACTTTGGGAGACTGAGGTAGGTGAATCACTTGAGGTCAGGAGTTCAAGACCAGCCTGGCCAACATGGCAAAACCCTGTCTCTACGAAAAATACAAAAATTAGCTTGGTGTGGTGGTGCGCACCTGTAGTCCCAGCTACTTGGGAAGCTAAGGCAAGAGAATCGCTTGAACTCGGGAGGCAGAGGTTGCAGTGAGCTGAGATTGAGCCACTGCACTCTATCCTGAGTGACTGAGTGAGACTGTTAGAAAAAAAAAAAAAGTTATATAAATGGAATAAATTTGTATGTAGCCTTTGGGGATTTTTTTTTTCACTCAGCATAATTTCCTGGAGTTGTACATATCAGTAACATGTTCCTTTTTTCCCTTTTTTGGCTGACTAGTATTCCACAAAGTAAAACAAAACAAACGTTAGATTTATTTCTAGAAGTGAATGTTGTATCTGAGGGAGTGAAGAGTTGGTGGGTCTGATGCGGGTATTGCAGGGCTGTTTTCCAGAAGACCCAGCCAGGTCCCCGCCCTCACCCACAAAACAGAGACCCCCATAGGTGGCACTTTGCTGAGGCTGCAGTCAGTCAGTACCACACACTGGGCGGGATCAGCAACAGAAGCCGCCTCAGAGCTGGAGGTTAGGAGTGTGAGTTCAAGATGCTGGTCGAGCTGGTTCCTTCGAGGACAGTGAGGAAGGCCTTGCACTTGCCTTCTGCTGGCTGCTGAGAAGCTTTGGCATTCACTGGCTGGCAGAAGCGTCGCCCCCAATCTCTGCCTTCATCTTCACATGGCATCCTCTCTGTATTTGAATCTTCCCCTTTTTCTAAGGACGCCAGGCAGGTTAGGCCCAGCCTAATGACCTCATCTTAACAAATCACATCTATAACAGCCCTGTTTCCAAATAAAGTCACATTCTCGGGTACTTTGGCTTATGACTTCAATATATGCATTTGGAAGAAATGCAGTTCAACCCATAAATCAGACTGTTAATACTGGGTTTGGGCTGTTGACTTTTTTTTTTTTTAAACAGTCTCATTCTGTCGCCCAGGCTGGAGTGCAGTGGCCTGATCTCGGCTCATACAACTTCCTCCTCCTGGGTTCATGCAATTCTCCCTGCCTCAGCCTCCCAAGTAGCTGGGACTTCAGGCTCCCACTACCACACCCAGCTAATTTTTGTATTTCTTTTTAGCAGAGACAGTGTTTCGCCATGTTGGCCAGGCTGATCTTGAACTCCTAACCTCAGATGATCCACCTGCCTTGGCCTCCCAAAGTGCTGGGCTTACAGGTAGGAACCACTGCCACTCAGCCGATTTTTTAAAAAATTGAATAGGTGCACCTTAATTTCTAGAAAAGCTGTTTTTCCATGTGATGATTTACTATCTTTTGTTTCTATCAAGTTGCTTCTTCCTGTGTTCCCTTGCCAAACATTTAACAAAGCAAGGGAGACATGCACTCCCTCTTCAGGAGCTCGCATATCAGGGAAGAAATAAGTTCTGCATCCAAACAACACTATGAGGTGGAAGGTGGTCAATGCACTGAAAAAAGGTTCAGATGCTTTTTTCTAAAAGGACTTTTTTTCTGGAGCAGTTTTAGCTTCACAGCAAAATTGAGGGGACGCTATAGCGATTTCTCACGTACCTCCTGTGCTCACACATGTAGAGACACCCCCCATTATTGACATCCCACCACCAGAGTGGTGCATTTGCTGATTGATCAACCTACGTGACAGATCTTTATCCCCTGAAGTCTGTGGTTTACATCACAGCATTAGTGTTGCATGTCCTTTGGCTTTGGACAAATGTATAATGACATACACCTGCCATTACAGTGTCACACAGATGGTCGGTATTTTCATTGTCCAAAAAAACTATGTGCTCTGCCTGTTCATCCCTCCCCGACTTTCCCCAACCCCTGGCAACCACTGATCTTCTTACTGTACCTTCCTTTTTGCCTTTTCTAGGATGTCATATAGAGTTGGAATCATACCTATATACGGTCTTTTCAGATTGGCGTCTTTCACTTAGTAAAAGGCATTCGAGGTTCCTATGTCTTTTCACGGCATCAACAGCTTATTTCTTTTTAGCACTGAGTAATATTCCAACCTCTTGGCATACCACGGTTTATCTAGTCTGTCACCTTCTGAAGGACATCTTGGTTGCTTTCGAGTTTGGCAATTATGAGTAAAGGAGGTATAAACGTTTTGTGCAGGGTTTATTTGTTGTTGTTGTTGTTTTGTTTGAAGACGGAGTCTCGCTGTGTCTCCTGGGCTGGAGTGCAGTACCACAATCTCAGTTTACAGCAACCTCCGCCTCCTCGGTTCCAGTGATTCTTCCTGCCTCAGCTTCCTGAGTAGGTGGGATTCCAGGTGAGCACTACCACACTTGGCTAATTTTTGTATTTTTAGTAGAGAAGGGGTTTCCCCAGGTTGGCCAGGCTGGTTTCAAACTTCAAATGATCTGCCCACCTCAGCCTCCCAAAGTGCTGGGATTACAAGTGTGAGCCATCACGCCTGGCTGTGTGCAGGTTTTCATATAAACGTAAGTTTTCAAATCATTTGGGTAAATACCAAGGATCATGACTGCTGGATTGTGCAGTAAAAGTATGTTTCGTTTTGCAAGAAACTGACCTGCAAACTGTCCTCCGAAGGGGCTGTACTAATTTGCATTTCCCACCGAAACAGAGTTCCTGTGGTTCCACATCTTCACCAGATGCATTTTTTTTAAAAGGACAATTTTCTTATGGGTCTTCAAAGGAGAGAACAATCTTTCTCCCCTGGGATGGGTCTGGGATCCTCATGGTAAGGTGTGGTGGCATGTGGACCAGACTTTGAAAGACAGTTCAAATTTAGAAAGTAAGGCCGGGCGCAGTGGCTCAAGCCTGTAATCCCAGCACTTTGGGAGGCCGAGGCGGGTGGATCACGAGGTCGAGAGATCGAGACCATCCTGGTCAACATGTTGAAACCCCGTCTCTACTGAAAATACAAAAAATTAGCTGGGCATGGTGGCTCGTGCCTGTAATCCCAGCTACTCAGGAGGCTGAGGCAGGAGAATTGCCTGAACCCAGGAGGCGGAGGTTGCGGTGAGCCGAGATCGCGCCATTGCACTCCAGCCTGGGTAACAAGAGCGAAACTCCGTCTCAAAAAAACAAAAAACAAAAAAAACAAATTTAGAAAGTATATGATGCTCCTTTGACTCCTTGGGATTATAGAATATTTGATCTGGAAGGAACCTCAAAGGTCGTCTGGTTTCATTCTCTACTCAGTTCTGGAGGTGGCCCTTATCTCTCATTAACGGATACTGAGGATTCTCCTTACTGGCTGCATTTTAAAACAGATTTTGCTCCCACTGGTAGGTGGTAAAAAGGAAATATCTGGGTTGGGAAGGCTGCTTTTAGGCGGTAGCCTGCATTGAGGGATGTCCACATCACCTCGTCTTTATTTGCATATCCATACACAATGGAATGCTATGTAGCTGTTAAGATGAATGGGGTAGAACTATAAAAACAATAACTAAAATACAAGCTAAGCAAAACAACGAAGCACAGATATCTCTGTATACACTTGTGTATGCACGTGTGTATGCTTATATATGCTTGAGATTTTTCTGGAAAGACACTTAGAGAAATAGAAGGTTTGGAACAAGTGACTTTTCCTTATAAGCCTTTTGCATTGTTTAAGTGTATTACTATGTACATATAGTATTATTGGTAACGAAAATGGTTTTAAAAACACTTTTACCTGTTTTAGATTTTAGTGCTCTAGGATTTCACGTAGAACCATAAAGATTCCGTTGTCAGAGGTCTGACAGTGAGTCCAATCGCTTCATGTGATAGACAGGATCGGGAACCTTGAGGGGCTTTCTCTGAAGACTTCTTCTGTCTGAGGGAAAAGGCACCTGCTTTCTCTAAGATTTTTTATTCAAAGGAACATAGCACCAATAGTGGAATTTAAGGCATCTGGGGGAAGGGGATATGTTTGGGACTGCACATTTGCAGGATCACTCAAATCCCAAAATGCCACCGAGTCATCACATGAGGCTACCTGAGATGAACACCCCAGCCCCCTGCTTTCTTAGGACAAAATTTTTTTTGAGATGGATTTTCACTCTTGTTGCCCAGGCTGGGATTCAATGGTGCGATCTCAGCTCACTGCAACCTCCGCTTCCTGGGTACAAGCGATTCTCCTGTCTCAGCCTCCCAAATAGCTGGAATTCCAGGCACGTGCTACCATGCCTGGCTACTTTTTGGATATTTAGTAGAAACGGGGTTTCTTAGGCTGGTCTTGAATTCCCAACCTCAATCAGCCTCCCAAAGTGCTGGCATTACTGGTGTGAGCCACTGCGCCTGGCTGGGAGCACAGATCTTACCTCCCTCATTCAGGTGGGCCATTCTACCTAAGAATATTCTTTTTTTCTGAGACTGAGTTTTGCTCTTGTTGCCCAGGCTGGAGTGCAACGGGGCGGTCTCGGCTCACCGCAACCTCCGCCTCCTGGGTTCAGGCAATTCTCCTGCCTCAGCCTCCTGAGTAGCTGGGATTACAGGCACGCGCCACCATGCCCAGCTAATTTTTTGTGTTTTTAGTAGAGACGGGGTGTCACCATGTTGACCAGGATGGTCTCGATCTCTTGACCTCATGATCCACCCGCCTCGGCCTCCCAAAGTGCTGGGATTACAGACTTGAGCCACCGCACCCGGCCTAAGAATGTTCTTAAAAGAACATTTCTGGTACTGGAGAGACGTTCATCAATATCTACTGCATAAACAGGACCATCATGGAACCTGTAACTAACTCAGGATCCCGCTGTTTTAGATGATTATTTTTAAAAAATTAGAAAAAGCAAATATAAAAGCTAAGCACACACACACAAAAACTAAGCCTAAAAACGTAAAAGAAAATCCAACTATACGAAGGACAAAAAGACAATACCTTTGTAATGTAAGACATTTATTTTGGCTACAGTTTTTGTGTTTTAACACTGATTGGTGATACAATGGACGTTAAACTTCCTTTTAAAAAACAATTTGGTAGCTCTCCCTTTTCTGTCTAGAAAATTCATTCTTTCACAAACTACCCCAAAATTTGGCAGAGGTAAGAGGCAACCAAAGTTACTTTCCAGCCAATCTATTCTCTCAACCTGAAATGTCCTCTATCTCCAATCAGGAGGAAGCCTTGACTTGGAAGGACCATCACTGTTGCCTCTTCAGTGATTCTTGACATCAGTTCTGTGAAAAAGAAAATTTCCTTCAAGAAAAGCTCATGTCTTCATATTTAAGGTCAGTGCTTTTTTTTTTTTTTTTTTTTTTTTTTTTTTTTTTTTTTTTTTTTCCCCATTTAAACAGTAGCATCTTGTGGCACAAAAGGCACCAACATTCCCTTTCCGAACCATCCATCACCATCGGTAGAAGGCAGCGCCACCTGCTGGCCATCATATAATGACTCACATTACCCATAATTTCCTGACAGTGCTGAATTCCAAGTGGGGATTATGAGAGACCCCTCAGAGCCAAAAGGGACCTTAGAGGTCTTCTAGATGAGTCCCCTTATTTGTAGGTGGTGGTTTCTGGATAACTCAGAGTGGCGGGGAGAGAGACCAGCCTGTGGAAAGGTATACTGCTTTAAGATTGAGAAGAAACTATTTGGCGCTCTAATTTTGCCTGGATGGTGCTGTTGGTCAAAGAAAGGGATCAGGTCTGGGGAGGGGGGAGGGGCACCCTGAGTTCCTGTTCCACCACTTCCCAGGGGGTAGAAGGCTGTCCAGGGACAGCTCCCATCCACAACTGGGCATGTGTTGGCACTTACACAAGAGACTTTTCTTTTACTTGAAGAACTAGGAGCTAAATCTCGTTAAGTAAATACGGGTTTTGGGGGGTGAAGGACTATCAAGAAATCCCAAGTTATCAGCATAAAAGTAGTTCCAAAGTCAAGGCAGTAATTTTCCCAATGGCCTTTTCTCCCTCATGCACCCACGGAGGCTTTTGAAAGGTCCTAATTAGCCAGCCACACCAACCTGCTGTGTTCGCCTAAGCAGCTGTGGCTGTCCCGTGGGGCGACCACTGCCTGGGCATGGGAGGGGAGCCCCAGCCCCAGCTCCCTAGCCTCTTCCAGGAGCGTAGCAGAAAGCTCTGACTTAGGGGTGCTACGTCCCCCCTGGAGAAAGAGCTGTACATTCCAGCCTCTGAGGGACCCACCCTCTTGACTTGCATCTCTGGAGCTGGATCAAGGGCATGTGCAGTGCACCTGGAAATGCCAGGGAGCCCCTTTCTTGAGAGAGTATCGTGTCAAAGAATCCAGCTTCAGGGAACAGTCAACCTAAAATCTTGCCCAGTTCCGCCTTATATAGCTGGACAACCCAGGGAGAGGGGAGGGGAGAAGGGAAGGGAGGGAGGAAAGAGGAAGGGAAGGGAGGGGAGGGGAGGGGAGGGGAGGGCAGGGGAGGGGAGGGGAGGGCAGGGGAGGGGAGGGGAGGAAGCAAGCTAGCTAGCTGTTGCAAACATTCTGAACAACCAAAGTTAAAGAAATGTTGCTAAAATATTATCATTATAGTCACTCCTCTACTTCACCGAGGGTTCTGTTCTGAACTTCCTCAATTCCTTTTTTTAAAAAGGCCACGATACAAGAATAAGCTCTACTAACGTTCCTGGGTTACTGCGAGGCTCAGGTCTGATGAGGCTGGAAGGCTACGTGGAAGCTGTGCAGCAAGGCACCCAGTTTAGAGGACGGCCGTGTCGCTCAGGTGGGTCTATCTGGACACCCTTTTCACTATCTGGAGAAGACACATCCTAGTTGTTCAGAGCTGCTGTGGTCACAGAGAAAAGGGGACAGCAAATGACCAGGCTGGGCAGGGCTGCTCCTGTGTGATCAGAGACCTTCATCGCCGGGAGTGGGGCCTTATGGCCCACCTGCTTCTCCATGTCCCAGCCAGGAGCTCCTGGCCAACTCTGAAAAAGGCACATTCCCACCTTGGCATGTTAACACTGCCTGAACTTAAATGTAAAACTGAGTTGTAAAGAGTCAACAAAAGTCCCTGATATTTCCTTCATGTTAGGTAAGAGTCCTTCACAAGGCCTTGCAAGTGATCCTACCTTGAATTCAGGCTTCCGGGAGCATGATACACCCACCAGAACAACGCCCTACACATATTTGGTGCTCAAAAAGCATTGAATTTGTTCAACTTTTATCAGACATCTCTACGCTCCGTGCCGGGGGCATGGCTGAGGACCTTCTCTTTGCCCAGAGTGACCCTGAAGATAAATAGCATCACAATCATTTTCCATAATAACAGTAACGTAAAATCCTAACAAGACTGTGTTTAAAATGAAACTCTTACATTCTGGCAAATGTGCATACACAGGTGAGGGCTAGTGCATTCCAATATCACCCTTAAAAAGTCTTTTAAAAGGTTGCTTGTGTTTTTTGCTCTGCCACCAGTAAAGGATCCACGTGGACACTCCGCCATGTCTCATGCCTGCCTGGCTGAGTCACTCCAGGGATCCTGTGCTGGCAGCAGAGAGCTAGAAGAGCCACCTGCAATGGCCCGGGTGTGTGCCTGGGACCTGTCACTTCCCTGCTCGTCCCCTGGCCGAGTTTCCGAGAGGCACACCCCCACACGCTCACGCACACACGATGTAATCGGCCAACTTCCTCCTCCTGACCCTGGGATAGCAAGGACAAAAGCAGTTAGCACACTGGCTTGGGCTTGCCAACACTACCATTCAGGACAAGACCCTTGTAATTCTCCAAATGGTGGGGTTTTTAAATAGGCGGGACTTCAACACCCTGTTTTCTAAAAAAGAAAGAAAAAAAGCATGCCAAAGGCATCGCTCTTCTCAAAAATGAAGGGGCAGAGATAAGGTCCGAGGGAAATACGCCACAGCAGCGGATTCCGAACTCACAGCTTCCAAAGAGTCTCATGTTGAAAACTCTATGGATTTAGGAGGGTTCTCCAGGAGAATCTGTTTGCCCACCGAAGGGCCTCTTTGCGTAGGGACCATTCATCCTAAGGAAATCATTCAAATGCAGCCTTGCCCTGGGAATCTCCCTCCACTCATAACTGCCGGACGCCCCCGCCCCAGCTTCGGACCTTAAGACGTGAGCGCGCTTCCTATGCGCAGGGTGTGGAAGGCCGTGGGGACGGTGGAGCACGGACGTGGTGGGGATAGTGGCCTGCATTTGCATAGTTCCTTTCCTAGGGTTCAAGGTGTTGAGGTCCCCACTCGAGAGGATTTGGGGGTGGGGGAGGAAAGGTCATAAGGGCCCTCTGTGAGTGTCCACACGCCTCCCGCCCTGGGCCCGTCGGGAAGCATGCAGGCCACAGGCCTTCCCCCTCTGCGCCCCCATCTCAGGGAAAAGACATCATAAATTACAGAAACAGGACAACCAGGGAGCGAGGATGCCCCCTCGGTAAGCTGCTTTATGTGCTCCCCAGGGTGGGGGAAGTGGCCCAGGGCTGTGTTGGGGCAGACTCGTAGACAGGTGCCTTGTGATGCTGGGAGCAGGGACGGTGTGTTTCCTAAACATGGCAGCTCGGGACACCTTTGCCCAGGGCCTCCCCCTGCGGACCTCGAGAGCAGAGGCAGCAGGGTGCCCTAGGGTTTCAACTTCCCCTCCTTGGCGAGTCTGTCATTGAGCTGGCAGAGCTGGGCCAGGAAACCGTCGTTGGGGCCAATCTCACGGTTCTGCCTCACGATGCTCAGGGCAGACTTGACGTCCATCTTCTGCCGCATCATGAGGTAGGCGATTACCAGCGTTGGGGAGCGGCTGTAACCTTCCCGGCAGTGGACCAGCACCCGGCCTGGAAGAAACAGGGAGATGTGGTGAGCTGGGAAACAGGAGACCCCTACTGTGCCCCCTACTGTTGGGCGGGCGCAGTGGCTCATGCCTGTAATCCCCACCGAGGCGGGCAGATCACCTGAGGTCGGGCGTTCAAGACCAGCCTGACCAACATGGAGAAACTCTGTCTCTACCTAAAAGTACAAAATTAGCCAGGCATGGTGGCGCATGCCTGTAATCCCAGCTACTTGGGAGGCTGAGGCAGGAGAATTGCTTGAACCTAGGAGGCGGAGGTTGCGGTGAGCTGAGATCGTGCCACTGCACTCCAGCCTGAGCAGTAAGAGCAAAACTCTGTTTCAGGGGGAAGAAAAAAACCTCCGTGAGGTGCAACTGAAAAGCACAATGTCACGCCACCGTGTGCCCGCCAGAATGCCTAAATGAAAAGGATGGAAAACCCAAAGTGCCGGTGAGGATATGGGGCAACTGGAACTCTTCTGCGTGGCTGGGGAGGTGAGGTGTGAATTGGCGCAACCACTTTGGAAAGCTTGTGCAGCACGGCAGCGTCTCCTCAAGCTGAACACATGCATCCCCTCTGGCCCGGCAATCCCACCCCCAGGCCCAGGTCCAACAGAGTGCGCACTCACATTCAGCAACACACACAGGCCAGAATGTTCATAGGCAGCACTGTACATCACAGCCCCAGCTAGAACCCCCTAAAGGCCCATCCCAGTAGAAAGGATAAATACAAAGAATGAGCAGCCTGCCACTTAGCAGAATGACACAGAGCAGCACTCAGATAGGAGGCGGATGAGCCCGCAGAGCAGGAGAGAGAGCAGGCGAAACCATCTGTGCTGTCAGAAGCCTGCATGGGGCTAGGCGCGGTGGCTCTCGCCCGTAATCCCAGCACTTTGGGAGGCTGAAGTGGGTGGATCATGAGGTCAGGAGTTCGAGACCTGCCTGGCCAACATGGTGAAACCCCATCTCTACTAAAGATAAAAAATTATCTGGGTGTGGTGGCGCATGCCTGTAATCCCAGCTACTAGAGAGGCTGAGGCAGGAGAATCGCTTGAACCTGGGAGTCAAAGGTTTCAGTGAGCCAGCCTGGGCAACAGAGCAAGACTCTATCTCAAAGAAAAAAAGCCTGCATGGCAGAGGCCCTGGGAGCCAGGAATGAGGGCAGTGGAGCACAGAGACTGGGGGTGCTTTCCAGGGTGCTGGTAGCGTTTTCTTTTTTTTGAGACAGAGTTTTGCTCTTGTCGCCCAGACTGGAATGCAATGGCACAATCTCGGCTGAGATTAGTTCTTCAACTGCTTTGATGAACAACATTATATATTGTAATTATATATTTTTATATTGTTATATATTTTATATAACTGTAATATATAATTACGTATTTATATTTCTATTGTATTTGTATATTTATAAAATATGTATATTATGCTTGTTTATTTTTATAAAAATATGTATAACATTTTAATAGTGTGTATATATGTGTATATATGCATATACATGTCTGTATGTCTATATATGTATACACACATATATAGATATATACATATATGTATCTGTGTATACACATGCACGTGCATGCATATACATGCATGTACTCATACATATATGCATAGACACGTCTCTGTATAAATGCATGTGCATATACATGTACATACATGGGTGCATGCATATACAGACATGCATGTGTTTATGCATGAGTACGTGCATACATGTACATGTTTGTATGCACACACATACATGTGCATGTGTGCACTTATGTATACATGCATGTGCATGCATACACATATGTATGTGTGCATGTACGCATGTGTATGTGCATGTATGTGTGTATGCATATACATATACATACATGTGTATACATGTGTGTCTGTATATACATGTATGTGTATACATATGTGTATATATGCATACATATACACATGTATGTATATGCATATACATGCGTATATGTATACATATTATATAACGTATAATTATATATACTATATAATGTATAATTACATAATTATATAATTTGTATATAAAATATATTATTTAATATAAACATCTAATATCTAATTTTATAATTGTAACATAATACATAATTGATAAAATTATATGATTATATATCTGCAGGAGGTCCTAGAACCAATCTCCCTGGTAGGTTTTGAGAGATTGTCTCTCTCTCTCTCCACACATACATGTACATACACACATGCATATATATACACATGTATATGCATATACATACATGTGTATATGTATACACACATGTATATGCATATACATAGTATATGTATACATACACACATGTATATGCGTATACATACGTATATGTATAGATACATGTATATGCATATACATACACCTGTATATGCATATACATGCATGTGTCATGTATACATACACATGTATGTATATGCATGTACATATATGTGTATATATACCTGTGTTGTGTATATGTATAACATGCATGTATGTATATATACACATGTATGTATATGCATATACAGGTGTATACACATGACACACATGTACGTGTGTATGCATACACACACGCATATGTGTATGTATATGCGCATACAGGTGCCGTGTACATGTATATGCATATACATACACACATGTATATGCATGTACATACATGTGTATATGCATATACATACATGCGTGACGTACATACATGTGTATGTATACATATACACATGTATGCATACATGTGCATATGTACATACATGCATTTGTATATGTATACATACACGTATATGCGTATATGTATGCATACACACATGTATATGCATATACATACATGTGTATATGTATACATACATGTATATGCGTATACATACATACGTGTGCGCATGCATACACGTGTATACACACATACATGTGTGTATGCATATACACATGTATGTATGCATATATGTATATATGTATATGTATACACACATGTACATACATATACATATATACATATACATATATACAACACATGTATGTGTATACATATACATACACATACATACACACATATACACATGTATGTACATGCACATACCATATACACATGTATGTACATGCATATACCATATACACATATACATATATACATATACACATGTACATGCATATACCATATACATGTGTGTATGTATACACACACATGTATATGCATGTACATGTGTATATATATATGCATGTGTGTATGTACATGTATGTGTGGGGAGAGAGAGAGAGACAATCTCTCAAAACCTACCAGGGAGATTGGTTCTAGGACCTCCTGCAGATATATAATCATATAATTTTATCAATTATATATTATGTTACAATTATAAAATTAGATGTTTATATTAAATAATGTATTTTATATAAATTATATAATTATAATTATATATTTGTAAAATATGTATATTATATATATTTTTTAATAAAATAAACCTATATATAAATACATAACATCGTTTAATATGGTGTGTATGTGTGTGTATATATATATATATATAAATAGACACCATCTCTCAATATCCACCGAGAAAATTAGTTCCAGGACCTCCTGCAGATACCCAAACCCACAGATGCTCAAGTTCCTGATATAAAACAACATATGCAAATCACCTGTGCACATCTTCCCTTATACTTTACATCATCTCCAGATGACTTATGATACCCAATACAATGTAAACAGTTATACCATATCATCTAGGGAATACATGTTCAGTACAGACATAACATCCTTTTATGCTGTTTTTAATATTTTCAGTCTGCAGTTGGTTGAATCCACAGATGTGGAACCCACGGGTACGGAGGACCAACTGTATATTCTATTAGCTCTGTTTTTTCTAGAGAATCCTGACCAATACACTGGTTATTAACTTGTGAGCCACCTAACCTCAACGTGCCTCAGTTTTCTTATCTGGCCAGTAGTACCCATTGCACAGGTGGTTGGAAGATTAACGGAAACCACACATGAATCCCCTAGGCTAGCACCTGGCATCCATGAGCACTCAATAAACATTACCCAGTACTCTCTGGTGGCACCTAGTACATCCTCAACTATAGCAGCCCTGGTCCTGTGTCACACCAGCCATGCACAGATCGACTCTTCTCTCCCAGAGGATGAATTCCTTAAGAGCAAGAAATCAGATAGGCACAGTGGCTCACGCTTATGATCCCAGCACTTTAGAAGGCTGAGGTGCGTGGATTGCCTGAGGTCAGGAGTTCAAGACCAGCCTGGCCAATGTGGCGAAACCCTGTCTCTGCTAAAATTACAAAAATTAGCCGGGTGTGGTGGCACATGCCTGTAATCCCAGCTACTCGAGAGGCTGAAGCAGAATTGCTTGAACCTGGGAGGTGGAGACTGCAGGGAGCCGAGATTGCACCACTGCACTCCAGCCTGGGCCTGGGTGACAAGAGCGAGACTATGTCCAAAAAAAAACCGCAAGAAATGTGGGGCACTGATTTTTGGATGCATTACAATCTCTAGCATACACTATGTGCTCAATAAATATTTGCTGACTAGCTGAGTGAATTATTACCTACTAACACCTCTGTAAGGGCATTGTTTGGCAAGAAATCTGCTAGCCCAGAGTCCAACAGAGTCTTTTCTGTTCCCATCACCCTACCCTCAAAACACCACTCTGTTTCCCCAATGCCTTCCAAATCAAGAAGCAGGAGTCCTTTGGGAGGCCGAGGCGGGTGGATCACGAGGTCGAGAGATCGAGACCATCCCGGTCAACATAGTGAAACCCCGTCTCTACTAAAAATACAAAAAATTAGCTGAGCATAGTGGCACGTGCCTGTAATCCCAGCTACTCGGGAGGCTGAGGCAGGAGAATTGCCTGAACCCAGGAGGCGGAGGTTGCGGTGAGCCGAGATCGCGCCATTGCACTCCAGACTGGGTAACAAGAGCGAAACTCTGTCTCAAAAAAAAAAAAAAAAAAAAAAAGAAGCAGGAGTCCTCCCCTTTCCTGCGCATTCACCCTCCAGCCTAGATGCCCAAAATATTCAGAGTGGGGCCTCCGCTGCCCCGCCCTAGGAATGAGACCCTCTGCAGAGCAGCCACCTCACCATCTAGAACGTACTTCGCATGTAGGCCCCAGTGCACACAGAGCCTACTGGGAAAGGGGACAATTCAACCTCTCATTACCCTAGGCTCAGCCCAAATGCCACACCTCCTCCATGAAGCCTCCCTTGATTTTCCCAGCTGGAAGTGACTCCTCCCTCTTGAGCACCCTCAGCCACCCCACCCAGCTCTCTGTGATGAGTCCCTGGGTCCTACACACTGTCAGAGGCCAGCATATTTCTGTTGACTCACTTGGCCTCTCATTCTTACAAGCATTTATACTTGGCTTTATAGAGCCCGTGGAATTCGTCATCACTTGCTCATTCATCATCTGCAGTGTACATACTGTGTACCTGATGCTACATCGGGGCTAAGGAGACAGACAGGGAACAAAGTGGACCCAGGCTGAGGGCAGGCTTCATGGAAGAGAGGCCACTGTGCCAAGGACGAGGTGGACTTTGCTGGAGGATAGGGTAGGAAGAGGCAGAGAGAACTTTTCAGACTGAAAACCGAGCACACCTGGACTGAGACAGGAGGGGGAAAAAAAGGGCATATTCCTAGTTGTTTGGAAAGAGGAAACCAAGTCAGAGGGCTCAAAATTCCACGAAGGAATGACCAATCGGTATTACACGAGAACAGCAAAATCCTTCCCCTTGGGCCGGCCCGTATCTACGCAGGGTGAGGAGCTCAGTGCAGCTGGAGGGGAGGGGGCGATCTGGAAGGACCATGAGGGGCCTGTCGGCAAAGTCTGCAGATTCTCCCACAGTGAAGCTTCTCTCTGAGCCCTGAGCATGCGCTGTCCAGTGGTCTAGAACCTTCTGTGTACTGGAAATCATTCTGACGCGAGGCTGCTAGGCCCAAGAAGCATCAGTGTAGTAGAGGCAAGGCTGATCGCACCTCACGGGGTCCTTTCCCTGGGCGGGTGTGGGGTGCAGAGGGAGGGAAAGGGAAAGGAAGGAGCTGAGAAAGACAGCTAAAAGCAGAAAGGAAGACAGGGCAAGCGGCCCAGCCTGCTCAGCTGACGTCTGCTCTGTGGCCTTCTGGGGTTTCTTGCCGGAATGCCTTGGTGACTGCCAGCACCTTGCTAGTTCTCCTGCAGTCTTACCTCGTATTTGGAGGCTGCAGGAAGTATTTTTTAAGCGGCCGGAAGATTTGCCCGGGGCGGGGGCCTGTGCTTTGCTGACTGCCAACTTAAGCTGACCACAGCTACCCCGTTTCCCCTTGCCAGGCAGTCACGTGAATCCCTCGCCAGTGAGATGTGAGGGGCGTCTCCGCGGAATGTTTTACTTGCTCTTAGAAAAAGAGAGAGGCCGGGCATGGTGGCGCCTGCTTGTAGTCCCAGCTGCTGGGGAGGCTGAGGTGAGAGGATTGCTTGAGCCCAGGAGTTGGAGATGACCAGTCTAGGCAACATAGCAAGACTCTGTCTCCTTAAAAAAGGGAAGAATGGCCAGGCAAGGTGGCTCACGCCATAATCCCAGCACTTTGGGAGGCCAAGATGGGTGGATCACCTGAGGTTGGGAGTTTGAGACCAGCCTGGCCAATATGGAGAAATCTGATCTCAACTAAAAATAGAAAAATTAGCCAGATGGTGGTGCTCGCCGTAGTCCCAGCTACTTGCGAGGCTGCAGCAGGAGAATCGCTTGAACATGGGAGGTGGAGGTTGCAATGAGCCGAGATCGTGCCATTGCATTCCAGCCTGGGCAACAAGAGTGAAACTCTGACTTCGTTAAAAAAAAATGGAGAGGAGAAAAACGTGGGAAGAGATGGCTGCAGCGCCTCGTCTGCCGCCCTCGGTCCTACTGGGATGTGATAACCCGATACCATCTTGGGACCATGAGAGGAGCACCGAACGCTGAGGTGGCAGAAGAGAGAAAGGGAAAGGACCCCTGGTGCGGTGGCTCATGCCTACTGTAATCCCAGCCCTTTGGGAGGCCGAGGTGGGCAGATCAGGAGGTCAAGAGATCGAGACCATCCTGGCCAATATGATGAAACCCCATCTCTACTAAAAATACAAAAATTAGCCAGGCGCGGTGGCACATGCCTGTAGAATCAGCTACTTGGGAGGCTGAGGCAGGAGAACGCTTGAACCCAGGAGGCAGAGGTTGCAGTGAGCTGAGGTCACGCCACTGCACTCCAGCCTGGGCAACAGAGGGAGAGTCTGTCTCAAAAAAAAAAAAAAAAAAAAAAAAAAAAGAAGGGGAAAAGGCCTGGTCCATATGCCACTCCAGAGCTGCTGAATCAAGCAGCCCCGGATCAACCAGCCCCTTGCTCCTTCACCTCAGGCCTTCTCGCCACGCACATTACCACCTTTTCCTCATCATTACAGCTGTTTAAATGGGGGATGTGTAAGCAACTGGAAACCAAGCCCCAGCCAAAGTGCAATCAAATGCAAGGACCCTGGGGCTGCCATTGCGTGAATGAGTTACACATCCTGACATCTGGGTCCACTGGACAGGCCAGGTGAGCAGAGAGAGCCCCACCGCTCTGTCACTGACCACAGAAGATAGGAAAAGAGGGGATTTCCCAGAAGACACCAGTTGTGGGCCTGTTTTCCAGAGGGACGGTCCTTCAAAGCTGCCTCCCATCTTTTCCTGGCAGCAGGTCCCTTACCGTTCTTTTGCGCCAAAGCCTGGTCAATGAAGTCAGCAGCCCTTTCAAAGTAAGCGCTGAGGTTGAACTCCTGTGTGTCGTTGGCCTTAATACCCAGGTAGGTGATGCCGGAGTCCTTGTAGAAGTTGGCATTGGTGTTGACGTGCATGAAGGACCTGCCCTCAGCCGCGTTCAGGACATGGGTGATGCCCAGTTTCTGCAGCTTGGGGATATCCTGAGCCACAGACCTGGATGGGAGACAATTGGGGGGATGATTAACCAACCAAATGGCAGCCCCAGTGGGAGGAAGACGGAGAAGGATCTAAGCTGCTTGGCAAAGCAAGGAACCCCTCCACGCTCTGGTCCCTGCCAGCTTCTCCCGCCTCATCTTATGACCTCTTCCCTCACTCGGGCCATATCGAATTGCCAGCAGCTTCCCCAAATAGACTGGTGGTTTCATAGCCACGCTGTCCCCACCCTCTCTGGAGACATGCGCCCTCTGGTCTCCCACACCCTCCGCAGCATTTGTCTCCCTCCATTCCACGTGGCCCCATGCTCCCTAAGCCGGGTGTGGGTGTACATAGCCAACTGGCTAAAAATGGACTCCGGAACCAGAATAACTGGGTCTGCCTCCAGCCCAGTTACTAGCCAGGAAACCTTAAGGCTTCTGTGCCTCAGTTTCCCTCTCTGTAAAATGGGGTAACAGTGCCTTCTCCCTGAGGTTGTTTTGAGTATTAAGTGGCCTATTCCATGGACAGATCCTGACACCGTGGTGAACACTACGATTCTAATACTTGACTGTGTTTCTGTGTTTACACATCCAGGCTGTGAGCTCCTTGAGAGAGGACCCACGTCTGCTTCAAGTCTGTTTCCCTGCCACCTGCTACAGTACCTGCTACATAGTAGGTGCTGGATAAATACACGGAGAATGAGTGCAGAAAAATAAATCCAACACATGCCAGGGAGCCCCCTCCCTGCCTCCTAGAGGGATCCTACCTGCCACATTCCACTGGCCAGATTTCCAAAGCTGTCTTGGATGATTAGTACTTGGGGAGCAAGTGGCCCTAAGAGAACCATAGGAAGTTACAAAATAATTTATCTAAGGCCGGGTGTGGTGGCTCACGCCTGTAATCCCAACACTTTGGGAGGCCGAGGCAGGTGGATCACCTAAGGTTGGGAGTTCGAGACAGGGCTGGCCATCTTTAGTAGAGATGGTGAAACCCCATCTCTACTAAAATTACAAAAATTAGCCAGGCGTGATGGCACACGCCTGTAATCCCAGCTACTCGAAAAGCTGAGACAGGAGAATTGGTTGAACCTGGGAGGTACAGGTTGCAATAAACTGAGATTGTGCCATTGAACTCCAGCCTGGGTGACAGAGCGACACTCCATCTCTAAAAAAGAAAAAAAAAAATTTTAAAATAATATAATAATAATAATTGATCCGAATGATGAAAAGGGCCCTTTATTTCATCTGACAAAACATCCCAATCCAAACGGCAGTTTATACTTTATAAAATGCCACCTCCTATGTGATCTTGTTTGCCCACTGTGAGCAGCCCTGTGAGGAATAAGGATGGCAGTATCCCCACTAAACAGAGCTTGAACTCTGACCCGACAGGATGGGCAGAGAGACGGGCACGTGCCCCACGTGCTGCTGGCGGCAGAGCTGGGAGAAGACCTCCTTTCTTCTGACATCCAGCCCTGCGCTATCTTCCACCTCGGTCTGTCTCTCATGCCCACATCTGCTGCAAAAGCCCCAAGGCCTGGCAAACGCGGCTTATACAGGCTCTGTCTCTGCCTGGTGAGGACATCGCTGCAGCTCTGACTTGGGTAAGGGGATGCAGCCCAAGCCCTCTTGGTGCCCGGTGCCCACTGATCCTCCCTGCTGAGCAACCCTCACACCCCCGGCCAAGTCAAGGTCAGATGTGCTTAGAGGACAAGGCATGTATTTTCTCCAGTAACCATCAGCAGTTGCCACGCTGCCTACACCAGGTGTGCACAACCTTGGTTTCCACTTGGGAAGTGGCGACAGCTGAATGGCCCAGCTGCCCAAGCAGGCAGGGTTCCTGAGGCTAACAAGGCCCACCTGCTGCCTGGGGCAGGAGGAAGGGTGTCTCCAGAGCTTTGCAATTCCTGAAGCCTTTGGCCGACGCTGTAGGACTCTGTTTTATCTATTCCTGCTTAGGACATTGCGTAAGACTGTAAAGCAGCGGCTGATAGAAAAAAAAACACTTTGAAGAGTCATTCCTGTTCATCTCCCTTCTCTAATACTGTTAATAATTCAACATGCAACCAATTTACCATTATCATTATTACTATCTCTACTATGAATGAACATTGCACAGTGCCTGTTACACAGTAGGTGCTCAGACTAGTGAATGAATGATGGAACGGATGAGAACTGTCCCCATGAGGCTGGGGCCTGACTGCTAGTTCCACGATGACCCCCATTTCCGTGGCAGTCCTTGGCAGGCTAAGCAGCAGGTCCTAGCGGAGGTCAGGGAATACAGACATGAACAAGACATTGACTCTGTCCTCCTACTACTCCCTCAGACACTCTGAGCCACCATTTCTTCCTCTGAAATGAGAGGAGGGTGGGTTTTGAGTTTTCAACATGCCATCCTTGGGCTGAGGCATGGAGCTTAGGATTTTGGTAACTGGGTCCTCGGAGTCTCATGAAAATCCAGCCTGAGCCCTTCCGAGGCTGTCCTGGCATGCTAATCTATTTTCTCGCGGGTCCTATTTCACATCTCAGAATGTTAACACCGGTTCCCTCCTGCTGATTAGACATTCTCATTAGAAAAAAAAAAAAACTAAAATTTAAATTAAAAAATTCTTACTAGTAGTTTGAGTAATAGAAAATGGGGTAATCAATCTGGTAAGAAGAACCCATAAATGATCAAGAATAAATGTATTTCCTGGGGATGAAAAGTCAAGAGCCTTTTCTAGGTGGTGGCTCAGGTCCTGAGGAGGCTTATCACTGGACCGTTCTAGAATCTCATGTAAATCAAACCACATCTGGAAGGTGGGAGAAGAGACCTGGAAATCCCGGCCCAGCAACCCGGACTCCCTCGTTTGGGGTGTTTAGCTTCCCTGATCCGGGACTGCCCGACCGGGAAAATTCCTCGCCCGAATTGTGACGTCTGCCCGTTGCCATGGCGGCGAAGGCAGACATTCCGCGGTGACCTCACTGCAGAACCAGGCAGCTGTCACATGACGCGCGGGCAGGAGACCGGCCGGGCGACCGAGGGCCACCTGTTAAGTGAACACGGTAGCCCCGACCCCGCCCAAGGCCAAGCCCCAACAGCGCGCCCCCGGGGCTCCGTGCACCAGCGGCGGGGAAGGGCCGCGCCCGGCCGGCCGGGCAGGTTTCCGGTCCCTCGGCCCCACGCGCGGGGGTGGGCGTCGACTCCAGCTCCCTCCCAAGCCCCCGCTGTGGCTCCCGGAGGGGCAACAGCGCCCCGGCTCCCCCGACCCACGCCTTGCGACGCCCCCACCCCAGCCTCGGGTGGGCGGGGCGTCCCGGGAGGGGCGACGCGGCCCGGACCGCGAAGGGGACTCACGCGTTGCCCACGTAGATCCGCGGGGTGACCTCGTTGCAGGGCTGGCTCGGGAGGCTGTAGCAGCCGCTGCCGTCCGAGAGCAGGTCGTTGAGATCCTGCACCGAGAGCTCGAACGAGCCCGACATGGCGGCGGCGGCGGCGGGGCCCTGCACGCCCGGCGGAGCGAGCGAGGGGGAGAGAGCGGCGGGTCGGCTGGGCGGGGGCTCGCGCCGGGAGCCGCCCCGTTCCGCCCCGGGGGCGGGCCCGCCGGGCTCGGGGAATGCGCTGCGCCGGCGCTGTGACGGGGGGCCCAGCGCGCCGCTCCTGGGCGCGTCCCGGAGGGAGACGCCTCCGCCTTGAGTCTCGGGGGTCCTCGCCCCGCCCCGGCCCAGGCCGTTGGTGTGTCTTGGTAAACTGGGAAGCGCGGTCACTTCCTTCCCTGAACCAAATGCAGAGCCCAATAAACGTTTCCAAACTGCCGGGTACACCGAGGGGTCGCCTCAGTCTTTCTGGATTACAGGGAAGGCCGGGCTCGGCTCGCGAGCGGCCTCCTGCTGCGGAGGCCTCTCCCGGGCCCTCGCCAGAACCCCCGCAGCCCAGCCCTGCTGGATCAGAGTGGACATTTCACCGACCCCAAGAGGTCCCTAGGAAGATCAAAGTCTGAGAAGCTCTACTCTGGGGCGCGTCTGCTGTCAACGTTCATTGAGAGCGTCGTGCTTAACAACAATCAGCCTGGGAATTCCGAGGAATTACCTAACCTGAGCCTATTTGCTTAAAAAAAAAAAAAAAAAAAGAAGAAGAAGATAGTAATAGTACTTAATTCTTTGTTTTGTTTTATTTTGTTTTTTGAGACGGAGTTTCGCTCTTGTTACCCAGGCTGGAGTGCAATGGCGCGATCTCGGCTCACCGCAACCTCCGCCTCCTGGGTTCAGGCAATTCTTCTGCCTCGGATTACAGGCACGTGCCACCATGCCCAGATAATTTTTTGTATTTTTAGTAGAGACGGGGTCTCACCATGTTGACCAGGATGGTCTCGATCTCTTGACCTCGTGATCCACCCGCCTTGGCCTCCCAAAGTGCTGGGATTACAGGCTTGAGCCACCGCGCCCGGCCAGTACTTAATTTTTAAGGTTGCTGGGAGGGTTAAATGTTACATTCAAGGAAGGCACCCAGCACTGCACATCTCGAGCACTCAGTAAGTGTTGGTCCTTCATCAGCAAATGCGCTGAGCACCCAGTGGGTGCCACGCCCTGTGCTGGCATGGAGATAAATCAGACTCCTGCAGCCCTTCCTGGAGCAGATGCCAGCCCACCATAAGCCACTCAGCATTTCCTGAACTTCCACTAAGTACAAAAGACAGTCTCTGTCCTGCAGGAAAGCCACCCTCCCCCACTGCCATGAAAAACTGGCGGTTTCCTTCTTGCAAAAGAGCAAATTTGGACTTCAATTCAGGAAACCCACATCCTGATCCCAGCCCTGCCACCAACGTGGTTCCTGAGTAGCACTGCTGCTGTGGTCTTCAGTTTCCTCATCTGCAAAAGAAATTGCATCAGATTATCATTAGGGTCAACTTTCTTCTCCCCCAAAAACCTGTGGTCTTGCACCTTCAGGGGAGCTATTGCAGTGGAGACTAGTTAGCTGATAGCCCAAGATGTATAACCAAGGCTGGAATTTCTGTATCCCTCACCCCACCCCATGCCTGCCCACCCCTCCCCGCACACCACTCCTTTCCTTCTCATGTTGTCTGGCAGCATCTGCATTCTAATCAGGGGAAAAGTTTTCGAGTCCCTTGACCTTCATCTTGACTTGAGCCTAGGTTAGCATCAAACACAGAAGCCCAGAGGCAGCCAGCCGTACTCCACTGCTCCTACTCCTTTCCTGAGACCCATCCCTGATGTCATACTGGGTAACTATGACAACTTGTCAGGGGGACAGCTAGGCACCTCACAGAGGAGTCTGGATGCCTCATTTCGGAAGTGAGACTAGGAAGAGAAGATGAACAATTCCCTGGATTATCTGGCCTACCCTGTTATCGTCTCTAATCACAGGCAAAGCACAACCTTCAGAAAAAAACTGGACTTTGGCCACTATCTATCTCACAAGAATAGAGTACAAATAGGTACGTGGGCAGTCTGGGCTAGACGCTGCTGTTAGGGATTTTGGAATGGTACCCCCTAGAGAGACGGAAAGTAAATCAGACCAGGTCACAGCTCTGGGATGATCTGGCCTTCTCTGCTGAGTTTGGGCAAGAGGGCGTTAGCACCAGTAACAAAATGTATCTTCCACCAGGGAGTTCACTGGCTGGAAATACTTCTTTAAACTCTTTAAAGCCAAAGTAAGTTAGAAAGAGGATAGGACTTCAGCGGCCAATAGACAGGCTAGTCATATTGGAAAAAGGTTGGAAGAGAGGCTCTTTTATTGGATTAAAAGGACATTTATCTCTGTAAATTTTACTTTTTCTAGCTCTCACTATTCTTTTGTTTCTGTTCAAACCTCCTCAGAGATGTACATCTGATAAACCAAACAAAACTTCCTGAGCCGCATTCAGGTCCTAATTCGAAATTGTTCCTTAGTCAAGGACATTGTCTAGTGCTGGTTTTTTGAGGCTGCTACTGGAACTCCTGTGAGGTAACATTGTGTCTTTCATCTTCCTTCTCTAGTGAAGCCTACTGTTGATACCAAACCTCCAGTGGCGCACACACATCACCTTTTAAAATTGAGCAAACTACAGGTATTTGTTCTTGCTGCCTGCAGACGTATTTTATTGACTTCCAGTCTATGTCCTAAAGAGGTTCAATTTCCCAGAGCCTTCTAAATACCCATCTATTCAAAGATTTGTTAATATTCTTCCTCCCCAAATACATCAACCCCAGTTGTTGTTGGTTTGTTTTTTGTTTTTTGTTTTTTGTTTTTCGAGACAGAGTCTCGCTCTGTCCCCCAAGCTGGAGTACAGTGGCTCAATCTCAGCTCACTGCAATCTCTGCCTTCCACAGTTCAACAAGCCATTCTCCTGCCTCAGCCTCCTGAGTAGCCGGGACTACAGGCGCATGCCACCATGCCTGGCTAATTTTTTGTATTTTTAGTAGAGATAGGGTTTTACTGTGTTAGCCAGGATGGTCTTGATCTCCTAACCTCATGATCCACCCATGTCGGACTCCCAAAATGCTGGGAATACAGGTGTGAGCCATTGCGCCCAGCCCCCAAGTCTTTGAAGTTCTGCTCCCAGTTTTCCCTGTGGCCCTCAATTGCACCCCTTTCCCAGGATCTCAGAGGAGGGGGAAGCTAAGTCATGGTGTGTTGGGGCAGTGTACTGATGGAGTCACATGGTGGTGTCGTTTCTTACCAGGGTGAACAAAAGAGAATCAACAAAATCGAGTATGAAAACAAGCAACTCTGTCAGAAGATCGCAAATGCCCATCGTGGCCCTGCCAAGGTGGATTGCTGGAATGAATATTTTTCTAAGAGGTAATGTCCTCTGTTTTCATTTCAGTTTTGGAAAGTCAAAATTGACTTTCCTCTTGGGTTTTAGTGTGTGGTTTCCCCAAGCCAGAGGAGTACTTACGGGGTACTTAAGGGAGGTTATCTTTAGGGAGAACCAACGAGATCGTGTTATGGAGAATGAAAACCTTAAAAATGGGGAGCTTTCTCTAGCATTAAAGCACTAACTTTTCTTTCATCTAAGAAACTTTCAGAGTCCTATTCAGTTTGTCGCAAGAATGCACTGCCCACTTTTATAAAATGGTGGCCATGTGTCTTAGTACATCATAGGATGTTATAGCAAAAGGCTATAAACTATTGGCTTATAAACAACAAAAATTTATTTCTCATAGTTTTAGAGGCAAGAAAGTCCAAAGATCAAGGTGCCAGTAAATTCGGCACCTCATCACCATTTGATGAGGTCCTGCTTCCTGCTTCATAGACAGCCATGTTTTCACTGTAACCTCATGTGGCAGAAGGAGCAAGGGGTTTGTCTCAGACTTCCTTCATAAGGACACTAATTCCATTAGGGTGATGGAATCATCTCTCAAAGGCCCCACCTCCTAATATCATCACTCAGGGGTTAGGATTCGAACATAAGAATTTTGGGGAACACAGACATCTGGACCATAGCACTATGGCTGGGGCTATGATGTGGCATTCTTAAAATTGATTCCAGAAATCTTTCCTGAGCAACTACTATGTGCTAGGCACCAGGAATAACAGAGATGAAATGAGATGTTTATTTCCTAACTTGAAAGAACTCAAGGTCTTGTAGGGGAGACATTTATGTAAGTAATGACAATGCAGTGTGATTAGGGATACCGAAGAAGCACATGCATGAGAAAGAATACGGTGAGGGGTGGGGGCCGGGCATGGAGCCTCACACCTGTAATGCCAGCACTTTGGGAGGCCGAGGCGGGCAGATCATGAGGTCAGGAGATAGAGACCATCCTAACACAGTGAAACCTCATCCCTACTACAAATACAAACAAACAAACAAAAAATACCTGGTCCTGGTTGTAAGGGCCTGTACCCCCAGCTACTCAGGAGGCTGAGGCAGGAGAATTGCTTGAACTGGGAGGCAGAGGTTGCAGTGAGCTGAGATCGAGCCACCACACTCCAGCTTGGGTGACAAGAGCGAGACTCTGTCTCAAAAAAAATAATAATAATTTTGTTGGAGGAAAGAGATGGTCAAGATGCTGTTCCTATGTCCTGGAATATTCTGTTATAAATTGAAAGCTGAGAGGAGTGAGGTGACCCAAAACTTGTCGCCAGCCATTTGTGATTTATCCACAGGGAGACCTTCCCCCAATCCTGGTTTTACATTATAATCCTTGGGAAATTTTAACAAAATGCCAATGCCCAAGGTTCACCTCAGACCAATGAAGGAGAATCTTCTCATGGCCAACAGGGCTGAAGACCACTGATATAAACCTGCAAATGCGGTCACGTTTCCCGGAGTGCAGTGCGGATCTACGGGCTGCCCCAGGGGGCTGTGGGCTCAGCAGGACAGTTTACTCCCTGCACTTAGGCAGCTTGGCATTTATAATCTCACGACTTCACCTCCCCCACTCGTGAAGATGAACATTTCCTCCTTCACCCATCTTCGGGTTTTGTGTTTTTCAGCTTAAACAGGGAAACAAGGAACCGCGAGCTACTGAGAATCACCATGGAAAACCAAGGCATTCTGAAGAGGCTTGTTGATCGCAAACCCCACTATGACCGCAGGGCATCTGAGATAGACTGGCAGGTACATCGGCACTCATGTTATATTCCCAGACACAGAGTTTATCCGTGTTCAGCCTAGAGAGAGTATCAGAATGATCCCTAAACAGCACCTGAAATGTAACAATCATTAAAAGAAAAACTATCCGGTCTGGGCGTGGTGCCTCACGCCTGTAATCCCAACACTTTGGGAGGCCAAGGCAGGTGTATCACGAGGTCAGGAGTTTGAGACCAGCATGGCCGACATGATGAAACCCCGTCTCTACTAAAAATACAAAAAATTAGCCAGGCATGGTGGCGGGCTGCCTGTAGTCCCAGCTACTTGGGAGGCTGAGGCAGGAGGATAGCTTAAACCTGGGAGGCAAAATTTGCAGTGAACCGAGATTGCATCACTGCACCCCAGACTGGGTGACAGAGCGAGACTCTGTCTCAAAGAAGAGAAAAGAAAAACCATCCAAAGCAAGCAAAGCTAACAGGCACAAACCTGTTAAGCACAAACAGCTAAAACATCTTGGTAGCAAAGCTATTCTGTGTCAGTTTCATAACTTATGTGTCAGTTTGAGAAAAATATCTGGTAGCATCTTCCCTCACCCCTTAATTTATTAAGAAAGGCTGAATGTGGCCAGGCGCGGCAGCTCACACTTGTAATCAGAGCACTTTAGGAGGCCGAGGAGGACGGATCGCCTGAGGTCAGGAGTTCGAAACCAGCCTGGCCAACATGGTGAAATCCCACCTCTACTAAAAATATAAAAATTATCCAGGCGTGGTGGCACACATCTGTAATCCCAGCCACTCGGGAGGCTGAGGCAAGAGAATTGCTTGAGCCTGGGAGACGGAGATTGCAGTGACCTGAGATCCTGCCACTGCACTCCAGCCTGGTCGACAGAGCAAGATTCTGTCTCAAAAAAAAAAAAAAAAGAAAGAAAGAAAGAAAAGAAAACAAAGAAAGAAAGAAAGGCCGAATGTACGGGGATGAAGGGTATAAGATTCAGTTTGTGGTTGGTTTGCTTCATTTAGGAATGAGCCTTAAAAAGGTCGGGGGAGGGGAAGCCATCTGTGGTGTTTTAAAAAAAACCTCCACTTACTGGCTTTGGTCTTTAGACCTTTTCTAAGTCATCTCTAAGATTTAGAACTTCGGTAGTAACACCAGTGCCCTGGCATTGACATAAACCAATTTTTTTTCCTTCAAGAATTCAAGGCGCTATATCAGAAATACCACGAGATATCTTCTCTCCCAAAATGAATAGGTATGTCTCCTTACTATGGAACATTGTGACCACAGCTGATACCAAAGCCCTGAGAACCCCATAAATGGTGAATGAGGGGCCCAGTTAAGGAGATGAATTTTGCTCTTCTCATATAATATTGACTAGTCATCCATTCAGGAAACTTAGGACTCTCTGACTTTATTTCTTCTCTCCATAAAAGGAGGAAATGACATTGTCTTTTGTTATCATCTTTGAGGCTTTATGGGAATCTAAGGGGAAGTGATTTGTTCCAATAAGGCATAACTGGAGGACTTGTGGCTTTAAAATTGTGCCTAAGTTACATTACAGGTCTCTGTCGGTATTCGAAAGTACCAGTGTGCTGGCATTTTGTATTATTTAACATTATTAGTAATGACTAAGTAGTGTCCCCCACCCAAGAGAGAAGGATAAATGGACATTCAGGCCTTCCAAAGAATAGTTCTGTCTAATTGATGTGTCTCCTCTCTTCTCCACTGAATACAAGGTTACTCACCCTGGAAAAGATACAAGAGAAGGTCCTAGGATTTCCTGGCTGCTTAGAATCTTAAGACACTCCTGAGTGGCTGAATGCTCAATCTTCAGATGCTTCAATAAAGCTTGAACATAAAATGCATAAGTTGCATTCAGGGGACCCAAAGGCTTTACGTTCTCATTCCAAAATGGGGCAGGTAAAAGGAAAGATGCAATGAGCATTTTTATCTGGGGCTATGAAGAGAAGTTTTAACGAGAGAGAGAGAGAAATTAGAGAGAACTCTTTTAAACATACACCATCATCACCATCCCACGGAGGAAGAAAAGCTGGGGTGAGATCATCCAGCCACAAGTACACACTTCACAATGGAAAACACAATCACATGACAACATCAAGTGTCAGAAAACACGAAGAACAAATGCCATTAGTTCCTCTGTGAATACACACAGTGGGCAAAGAATGCCTTATTGAAGTTTCCATGGACTCTGTTCATTTATAGGGAGCAGCAGCAGTGAAAATGTCTCAGAACATATGGTGAGACAGTGTTGCAGGGCTTCTATGACTGGTCATGCTGGTTTTGAGCCCAACTATATTAGTCAGCATTTTCCAAAGAGACAGACTCAGTAGGATAGGGGGTGGCGGGGGCGGGGGGAGGTGTAGATTTATATGGGGAATTGACTCACAAGATCGTGGAAGCTGAAGTCCCACCACAGGCCAGCTGGAGACCCTGGTGCAGCAGGGCAGACAACTCCCAAAGTGGGGCTTAGCCTGTGAGGGTTCTTGGCTTCACCCAGGAGAGAATTTAAGGGGGAGCCAGTCATAGGGTAGAAGAAGACAGTTTTATTGAAGCAGCAGTGTTACAGCTCCATGACTGCTCCTGCAGAACAGGACTACCCCATAAGCAGAGAGTTGTAGCTCAGGGCAGCTTTGCAGTCACATTTATACTTACTTTTAATTACATATAGATTAAAGGGTGGTTTGTGCAGAAATTTTAGGGAAGGGGTAGTGATTTTTGGGTCCTTGGGTCATTGTGCTGGAAAGGGGTGGTAACGCCTACGTGTTGCCATGGTAACCGTAAACCGACAGGGCTCACCGGTAGGAAAGCTGCTTCCCTATTTTAGCTAGTCCTCAACTGGATCCTATGTCCAAGCCCCACCTCTGGAGTCAAGTCCTGCCTCCCACCTCACTGGGATGCTGGTAGCATGGCTTGGTCCAAGTCTGAAAGCCTCAGAACCAAGAAGAAGGTGGTGTAACTCTCAGTTCAAGGCCAAAGGCCTGAGGACCCACCAGGTGTGTATCTTAAAGTCCAAAGGCCAAGGAGCCTGGAGTTGTTGTCCCAGGACAAAAGAGGAAGACTGTATTCTAATTCCAGCAGATAGGTGAATATCTTCACCTCTTCTCTGTTTTTGTTCTCTCTGAACTCACAGCAAGTTGGATGATGCCTATCCACATTGAGAGTGGATCTTCCCACATACTTCACTCAGACTTACATGCTAATCTCCCCTGGAAACACTCTCACAGACACACCCAAAAATAATGCTTTACCAAGTTTCTAGGTATTCCTTAATTCAGTCAAGTTGGCACCTAAAATGAACCATTGCACTGACTTTTTAAACTTTCTATTTTGAAAGTTTAAATAATGACAGATTCACAGGTAGTTGGAAATAAAGGTACAGGGAGGCCTCCTGCACCCTTCACCCAGTCTCCGCCGGTGTTAGCATCTTGCATAACTGGAGTACAATATCAAAACCAGGAAACTGACATTGGGATGATGCGTGGAGCCTATGCAGATATCACCAGTTGCACACGCACTCATTTGTGTACATGTGTGTATAGCTCTATGTGGTTTTTGTCACCTATATAGCTTTGTGTAATCACAGCCACATTCAAGATACTTCAAAGTACTAATCAAAAGACACTTGTGCCAACCTTTTAGCTCCAGCCATCCTAGACCCTCAAGCCTAACTCCTGGTGATCATGATCTGTTTCCCACATGCCTGTTAGTTCATGAGTATTACATAAATAGCATCATGCAGTATATGGCCATCCCTTTAAGACTGGCTTTTTTCACTTAGGATAACTTCCTTGATGTTCATCCGAGTTGTGTGTGCCTTTTTATTGCTGAGTAATATTCCATGGTATGGACATACTATTTGTTTAACCATACATCCATCAAAGGACATTGAGATCATTCGTAGTTTTTTAAAATATTATAAAAGAAACTGCTGTGAATATTTGTGCGCATATTTTTGCATTAAAATGTTTTCCCTGGAATAAATGGCCAAGAGTATAATTGCTGGGTCATATGGTAAGTCCATTTTTAGTTTTAAAAGGAATTACAAAACAATTTTCCAGAGTGGCTGCACCATTTTATATTCCCACCAACAATGGACGAGTGATCCAGTTTCTCCACATTCTCACCAACATTTGATGTTATCACCTTTTTTTACTTTAGCCATCCTCATATGTGTGTAGTGAAATCTCATCTGTATATCCTCTTCGATAATATGTCTGTGAAAGTCTTTTGCTCATTTCCTGATTTTTTTTTTTTTTTAGACAGAGTCTCGCTCTGTCACCTAGGCTGGAGTGCAGTGGCACGATCTTGGCTCACTGCAACCTCTGCCTCCCAAGTTCAAGTGACTCTCCTGCCTCAGCCTCCTGAGTAGCTGGGATTGCAAGCATGCGCCACCACACATGGCTAATTTTTGCATTTTTAGACGAGGTTTCACCATGAGGATTGCCAGGCTGATCTCAAACTCCTGACCTCAGGTGATCCGCCCACCTCAGCATCCCAAAGTGCTGGGATTACAGGCATGAGCCACTGCATCTGGCCTGATTTTTTTAGTAGCAAATTTTGAAAGTTATTTACATATTCTAGATATGTCCTTTGCTGGCTGTATGCTTTGCACAGATTTTTCTCCCAGTCTGTAATTTGGCTTTTCATCCTCAGAGTCTTTCACAGAGCAAAATATTTTTATTTAGATGACATCCAATATATCAATGATGAAACTGTTCTGTATCTTGACTGAATCAATGTCAGTGTCCTTGTTCTGATACTGTACCATACGGTTTTGTAACAAGCTCTCACTGGGGGAATCTGGTAAGGAGTTTACAGGATCTCTGTATTATTTCTTACATGCATGTGTATCTACAGTTATCTCAAAAAGCTTAAAGAAAAAATCAACATGCCTAAATAACAAATTCATTATTAACTGGTTCCAGTTAATCTCAGTTTTGAGGAGCAACCATTCTTCTGACACCCAGGTTAAAATCCTGAGGTCATCTTTTACTTCATTCTCTCTCTTTCCTCCTATCCACCTCCCTAAAATTTTTTTTTTTTTTTTTTTTTTAAAGACAGAGTCACTCTCTCTGTTGCCCAGGCTATGGTCTCTTTGGGTGATCTTAAAGCTACAAGTCTTTATTTCTTAATCTCTATATGAGCTACTGCCTATATTTCAGGCACCTGTGTTTTACAACTTGTATTACTAATGCAAAAATATACCTGTATCACTTTCTAGCTTAATGGCTTCAGTGATTTGCTACTCTTGCATAATGGGCTGGAGATTTAAACAGAGCAGACCAGGCCTTTCATGATCCAGCCCATGAACTGCTCAGGTTATATTAGCTATACTTTCAAATGTTTGGCAATTTTCCTATTATCTTTCTGTTGTTAATTTTTAATTTGATGCCATTATGTCCAGAGAACATATTCTATAATTTCAATTATTTTAAATTTGTTAAGGTTTTTTAAATCAAGGTGAATATTTTCTGGACATTTGAAAAGAATGTGTATTGCACTGTTACTGGGCAAAGTGTTCTATAAATATCAGTTAGGTCCTGTTGGTTGATGGTGTCCGGTTCTTCTATAGCCTGATGATTTTCTATCTAGTAGTTTGATCAGTTGCTGAGGGTGGGCTGTTAAAATCCCCAACTGTAGCCGGGCGCGGTGGCTCAAGCCTGTAATCCCAGTACTTTGGGAGGCCGAGGCGGGTGGATCACGAGGTCGAGAGATCGAGACCATCCTGGTCAACATGGTGAAACCCCGTCTCTACTAAAAATACAAAAAACTAGCTGGGCGTGGTGGCTCGTGCCTGTAATCCCAGCTACTCAGGAGGCTAAGGCAGGAGAATTGCCTGAACCCAGGAGGCGGAGGTTGTGGTGAGCCGAGATCGCGCCACTGCACTCCAGCCTGGGTAACAAGAGCGAAACTCCGTCTCAAACAAAACAAAACAAAACAAAACAAAACAAAAATCTCCAACTGTAATTGTGGATTTGTCTATTTCTCTTTTTAACTCCATTTTTGCTTCATGTATTTTGAAGCTATGGTGTCTGGTGCAGTGGTGTGATCTCAATTCACTGCAACTTCCACCTCCCAGGCTCAAGCAATCCTCCCACCTCAGTCTCCCGAGTACCTAGGATTACAGGCACACACCACCGTGCCCAGCTAATTTTTGGGTTTTTTGTTTGTTTGGTAGAGATGGGTTTTCATCATGTTGCCCAGGCTGGTCTGAAACTCCTGGACTCAAGTTATCCACCCACCTTGGCCTCCCAAAGTGCCGAGATTACAGATGTGAGATCTCTTTAATATTATACAATGTCTCTCTTTGTCCCTAGTAATTTTCTTTCTCTGAACTTACTTTATCTGATATTAATATACTTAGTACTGCTTTCTGAAAATTAGTGTTTACATGATATATTACTTTTTATCCTTTTACTTTCAGTCTACCTGTGTCATTATGTTTGAAGGAACATATACTTGCAGACAGCAGATACAGACAGTCTCTGACTTACAATGATTTGACATAAATGATTTTTTGGTTACTTTAGGATGGTTCAAAAGCAATGCACATTCAGTAGATACCGTACTTTAAGTACCCATATAACCATTTCCATTTTTCACTTTCAGTACTGTATTCAATAGATTACATGACATATTCAAACTTTGTTACAAAATAGGCTTTATGTTGGATAATTTTGCCCACTGTGTTCTGAACACATTTAAATGAGGCCTGGCTAAGCTATAATGTTTGACAGGTTAGGGGTATTAAATGTATTCAACTTAGAATCAACTTACCATGGATTGATTGGGAACATAACCCCATCATAAGTCAAGGAGCATCTGTACTTCTATTTTTATATATTGTGTTGTTTCTTTTCCCTCCCTCCCTCCCTCCTTCCTTCCGTCCTTCCTTTTTTCCTCTACCTTCTTTCCCTTTCTTAGGTCCCAGCCTTCTTCTTTTAATTTCTTTCTGTTTGGAGAGCTTCCTTTAGCCATTCTTTAAGGGTAGGTCTCAATAAACTCTGTTTCTCGTCATCTATCTTTCCCTTCATTCCTGAAGGCTGGTTTCACCTGATACAGGATTCAAGGTTGACAGTTTTGTTTTCGGCACTTCCTAAGGGTTGGGCCACTCCTAGATGGCCTCCATCATTTCTTCCACAGGTAATGC